TTTTCCCCAATTTTTTCCCCAATTTCCCCATTTCACCTCATTTTCCCCCATTTGTTTCCCAATTCCCCCCAAATTCCCCCAATTTTCACCAATTTTCCCAAAATTTCCCCCAATTTTCCATTTTCCATCCTTTTTCCCAATTTTTTCCCAATTTTCCCCAATTTTTCCCCAATTTTTGCCAGTTTCCCCCCATTTTTCCCAATTTTCCCCAATTTTCTCCTTTTTTCCCAATTTTCCCCCAATTTTCCCCAATTTTTGTCCTTTTTGTCTGAAATTTTTCCCAGTTTTTCCCCAATTTTCCCACAATTTCCCCATTTCCCCTCATTTTCCCCCATTAATTTCCCCATTTCCCCCAAATTCCCCCCAAAATTTTCCCAATTTTCCCCAATTCTCCCGAAATTTTCCCCAATTTTCCCTTTCCCCCGTTTCCCCCAATTTTTCCCCAATTTTTCACCAATTTTCCCCAATTTTTTGTCACTTCCCCCCAATTTTCCCCATTTCCCCAATTTTCCCCCAATTTTCCCCCAATTTCCCCTCATTTATTTCCCAATTTTCCCCAAATTCCCCCCAAGTTTTTCCCAATTTTCCCGAAATTTCCCCCAATTTTCCCTTTTCCCCCATTTTCCCCCAATTTTTCCCATTTTTTCCCCAATTTTTTGCCAGTTCCCCCCAATTTTCCCCAATTTTCTCCTTTTTTCCCCATTTTTTCCCGTCTTTTCCCAATTTTTCCCCAATTTCCCCCAAATTCCCCCAATTTTTCACCATTTCCCCCCAATTTCCCTCTTTTTTCCCATTTTTTTCCCCGATTTCCCCAAATTTTCCCCGGATTTCCCCCCCCACACCATATAAGGCAATGGGCGTGGCCCGAGCCGGAAGTGGGCGTGCCCAGGTGCGCCGGCCCCGCCCACACCTGGCCGATCCAAGATGGCGGCGGCGCTGGGGGCGCTGCTGGCGCTGCTCGGTGGGTGCGGGGCAATTAACGCTAATTAACGCTAATTAACGGCAATCAGCGGGCCGGGGGGCTGATGAGGGGGGTAATTAACGCGGCCCGCCCTAATTAACGGGGTTCCGGGGTAATTAGGGGGGTAATTAAGGGGGTCCTTGGTAATTAAGGGGGTTCCGGGGTAATTAGGGGGGTAATTAAGAGGGTCTGGGGTAGTTAAGGGGGGCTGGGGCAATTAACGGGGTAATTAAGGGGGTTCCGGGGTAATTAGGGGGGTAATTAAGGGGGTCCTTGGTAATTAAGGGGGTTCCGGGGTAATTAGGGGGGTAATTAAGAGGGTCTGGGGTAGTTAAGGGGGGCTGGGGCAATTAACGGGGTAATTAAGGGGGTTCCGGGGTAATTAGGGGGGTAATTAGGGGGGTCCTTGGTAATTAAGGGGGTTCCGGGGT